GATAAAAATAATCTACAAGATTTCATTGTCTATATTAATCTATAATAGAAACAAAAAAAGATTCTCTAATAAAAATTAGATATTTTTGAAGAGTTTATTTCTCGAAATGAGCAGATAAAGTAATATGAACGTTTTAACTAAATCTATACAAAGCTGAACTTTTGTAATCGAAATAATAAATTTCATTTTTATTATTTGAAGTATCAATATGAAATAAGAGAAAGAGAGAAAATAACACACAAACAATAATATATATAAAAGACATGTCATTTGAATAGGATAATAGTAATAGTGTGAATATTTGTCATAAAGATAAATTTGAAGATGAGAGAAATGATCTAGTAAGTGGCGTAAAATTTTCATTGGAGTATTTTAGAGGACAGTTGTCTTTTCTTTTTTCATTTCGATATGGTAGAGAAGCTTTGAAAGAAAATGATAAATTAATCTTGAATATAATAAAACATATTCTACACATAATAGCAAATAAATGAAAAATACGTTCATTAAAACTCGTAATAATACAAGCATGCTTTACTACTTATGATTTCTCAGAAAAAAACTGTCTTTTACAAAATACCTTTGATTAGAATTTATTTTATCAATAATTATTATATTAACTCATGAAAATCATGAACAAGTGTTGTATAATAATATTGATTGTCATCACAACTATGTCTTTTACTGTATCATTGAGAAATTTCAGGAATTTATGTTCATAATTTCAAGAGAATAAGATTTTGAAATACTTTTTTAGACTGCCTAATGAACATGTAAAAATGAAAAGAAAGTGTATTGAATTGATTCTTAAAAAATCTATTTGATAAGAAAAAATTGATGCCTACTCATGTATCTCTAAATGAGAATATATAATCAGGGGTGGCGCGAGTCAATCAACATTGGAAGGGAGGTGTAACGAAGTTTTTTGAATTTTTGGGGGTGTAGCATTATCTTTGGTAAAAAAACTTAAGAAGACTGGCCGATTTTGTTGAGCAAAAAATAGAAATTTTCGAAGATTGGCGGAGTGTTACATCCCTCGGTCGCGCCACCCCTGTATATAGTTAAAGAATATTTTGTTGAATAAAAGTGAAAAACTTTACAGACATAATGAGCATTCTCTACAGATGTCTCTCGATGCATTCAGATGTAAAATGTCAGAATTTCTATTGATTACAGCAATAAACCAATGAAAATTTTAGAAGTATTTACTATAGAATTTCATTCTTATTAAAAGATTCGTTTTCAGTCACACAATAATAATAAAATCGATAGTTGATAATTTTCTATTACTTAACTTGTTTTTTTTATTTACAAACGATATCGTGAGTATTAAATTTTATTTTTATTTCTTCTCATAAGAATATCTTAAAACGGTATAGTTGAAATTAAAATATTTCTATTTTTCTTTGAAAATTTCATAATAACAATAAAAATTATCTCTAAGCAAAAATATGCTTATTTAGAAGCTCGTCTACGTATTACAAGATCAATTATACATACACAAACAGACGGTTCATTCTCTATGTTTACACAAGATAACATAGTTTCTCATTTTAGAAGTGGAAAAAAATCTACTTCTATTACACAATCAAGTTAGAATATTCTCATTGTCTTTTCTCTTTATTTTATTTTTTTTTCTCTAGGATTTATTTTCTTGTTTTCTCTGTATCGAATTTTTTTCGACAGAGGTAAACTTTTATTTTAAACAAAAAAAATCTATTTATTTTTTATTTTTCTATTTAAATTAGAAAATGGTTGATGAAATGGAAATTGAACGTATGCTTGAAGAAAAATTACAAGGAGATGTACAAAAACAACCACAAGAACAAATAGTAGATAAAACTGAAGATAAAAAACATAAAGAAAAAAAACATCACAAACATCATAAACATCATAAACATCAAAAATCACATAAAAGTGAGAAAAAACATGAGCGTAAAGCAAGTCGTTCACCGAATAATCGTCATCAACAACCACCAGCGCCATCAAAAGTATTATCTTCGGGAAAACGACGAGATGTAAAATCAGATTTACATATATTAGGAGAAACATTAAATCGTCAATCACGAGCAAAAGAAGCTGCATCAATGTTAAAATCAAATCGACGAGAAAAAACACCAGAATTAACACCGGAAGAGCGAGATCTTCGAACTGTATTTTGTAAGACCATATTTCTATCTCTTCCTAAAAACAAAATTAAGAAAAAATAACATATTTCATTGAAACTTTTGATATTAAACAAGTGAGCCTCTGAGTTTGCGAGAATAAACTTAGTTTTAGATCAAGAGAAATCGATAGGGATTCGAAATGAGTTTTCTACTAAAATAGTTGAAGTCAGTTTGAATTTGATGATTCTAACATCGCCGGTATGATTATCATCAGTACAGATAAAAGACTTTTATATGTGCATTGTAATTGACTAATGAACTTGATTTCATATACATCATGTTAAACAGAGAGCGAAGCACAATATATAAGAGTAAGGATATTGAGTAGAATGAATATAGTCTTTTGATTTGTAGTAAAACTCATTCGATGATGTTTCTCATTTCAAAATATATTTATAATAAAAATTAATTTGTCTGATGTAGTCTACTTTTTTAGTTGAAAATATGTATGTTCATGTAAAATATGGACTTTATTATGTAAAAATGAAGTATTGTTAATTCTATTCTGTTTAAATAAAAATATGTATGTTTATTTTCATTATAGGTATGCAATTAGCTGCTACGATTCGTCCACGCGATCTCGAAGATTTCTTTGCTCGTATTGGTAAAGTTCGTGATGTTCGTTTAATAACAGATCCACGAACACGTCGATCAAAAGGTGTTGCTTATGTTGAATTTCGTGATTTAACATGTGTTCAAGCAGCACTTACTTTAAATGGTGAAAAAGTTCTTGGTATACCAATTGTAATTAAACCATCGAATGCTGAAAAAAATCGTTTGGCAGCTCAATCAACTAATACAGCTGCTGGTCAAACTTCATATATGATGAATGGTGCAGTTGCACCAAATGATTCAGTTATACCAACACATGGACCTATGAAATTGTATGTTGGATCACTTCATTTTAATATAACTGAAAGTATGTTACGTGGAATATTTGATCCGTTTGGACGCATTGAAAATATAACACTTATGAAAGATCCTGATACAGAACGATCAAGAGGATATGGTGAGTAACAAAAAAAAGATGATTTTTATAAAATAAAATTTAAAAATTTTGTTTTTTTAAGGTTTTATCCAATTTGCTCATGCTGAAGATGCTAAACGAGCAATGGAAAATTTAAATGGTTTTGAATTAGCTGGACGATCAATGAAAGTTGGTCATGTTACTGAACGACTTGGTGAAATGTCAACTACTGGTAATACGAATATTCCACATTATACTGTTGGAATTGCATCTGCATTTGCATCAGGATCAAATCTTGATTCAGATGATCTTGATCATCGTGGTATTAGTTTAGGTCCTACTGGACGTTTAGCATTAATGGCTAAATTAAGTGAAGGTAGTGGTTTACAAATGCCAAAAAATGCGATGGATGCATTACAAGCTGCACATGTTCAAGCAGCTAGTTCTCAACATGTTCGCATACCTGAACCACCTAATTCACAACAATTAGCAACATGTACAGCTGTTAGTACACAATGTTTTATGCTTTCAAATATGTTTAATCCAACTGTTGAAGCTGGAAATCCTCATTGGGTACAAGAAATACGTGATGAAGTTATTGAAGAATGTAATAAATATGGTGGTGTTGTACATATTTATGTTGATGAAAAAAGTCCTGATGGAAATGTTTATGTTAAATGTTCAACTATTGCTAGTGGTAAATTACTTTACTATTATTTAATCATATATGAATATGAAAAAGAAACTAGAATCAGATAGTACGAATCGAATTGAATATGTTAGATTTAGTCTAGATATCAGAAAAATAATTTCTTTATTGCTTTTCATTGGTTGATTAGCATAAAAACATGCCAATCTATAGAAGATCAAAATAAACTAGGTGTCTGAAGGCTGAGTAATGAGATTATGTGAAACAAAATATAATAATTTCTAATACTATTGTTTAGACTGTATAGTTTTCATTGTGTTTAATGAATTTTCGTAAACGATTGAAGTTAAATAAGTTTTAATAGAGTTCGAACTTCTCGGAAGAATACTACGATTAACAAAGTATTGTTATGTTTACATTAGGCATGCAGCGAACTCGAATGTTCGGGTTCGAGTTCGGCGTATGACATAACTTGTTTGCAGTCGTTAGATAAGAAGAATTCAACACTTAAAAAAATCCCGAACCCGAACTTCGGTTCGAGTTCTCTGCATGTCTAGTTTACATCGAGACTGAAAATTAGTTTTGATCACTTTTTTAACAGAAAATAAACCTTTAATCAGGAAAACAAAACTTTCATAAAATATCTGATATAGAACAACAAACGTTCTTCTATAAAAGAAGATGTCGAACGAAATTATTGTACATTCATTTTATCTGAGCTTCACAGAAGTAGAAAAAGTCTGTCCAAATCGATCCACAGAATACTTAAAAATATGCCGGATAGAATCGATAAATTCCTAGTTTCTTTTTTTTTTATACACAATCAACTTTGAGATTATGTATTCATATTTCTTTTTAGCTATCAATACTGTCAATGCACTTCATGGTCGTTTTTTTTCTGGTTTGACTGTAATTGGTAATTATATTCCAACTCAATCTTATCATAAACTTTTCCCGCAATCAAGTTCAGCGACAACTCTCTTAACTCCTTCATCGTAAAGAAAATTCTCGAACCTCAACAACCGATATTTTCTGTTCGAAAGATAACGATTAAAATAAATGTTTCACTTTAAAAAAAAATTAAAGAACGAAATTGTTTGTTTATGTTCATTCTTTTTTTGTAAACAAAACTTTTTTTTTTCGAAACAAATATACGTGTTGTGTGTGTGTATCATTGAATTACAAAAAAAAAGAAAACTTCTTCTTTATTCTTTTCAAGATGGTTCGTGTAAAACATAATCAATCTTCACGTCGAAATTATCAAAATAAAAATAATTTCCATAGTAATTCTTCTAATCATAATGTTATTCAAGTAGGTCAATATGGTTTTTTTGTTACCTATTGTTCAACAAAAGAATCATTTGTTCGAAATGAAATTTATAATCTATTAAATCGTTTTGCTGATCAATTATTTGGTGAAGAATTTTCTGATGAAAAACAACTTGATACAACTGATCTTAATGATCTTGATTCAGCATTAGAAAATGAAAAAACAAAATTAAATGATTCCAAGAAAACAAAACGTCGTTTTCAAATTGTTAAATCAGGTACAAAACATTCATTATTTGTTACAACAACAATACCTTTAACATCGATTAATAAACTTATTGAATCTATATTTCAAACAAGTATACAATCAAAAGAACAACATAGTCGATATGTTGAACGTTTATTACCTATATCATTTATATGTAAAGCATATGAAGATGATTTAAGAAAATTAATAATAAAACAAGAATTTCTTGACCAAATTTTCGTATTAACTAATGATATGGAATTAACAAATAATACAATATGGTTTGATGTTCAAGCAAAAAAATCGAATAATACACAAGTAAAATCAAGTCATTTAGAAGAAATCGTTATAAATGATTTAATGTCAAGAAAATCGGAGGATTTAAATGGAAAAATATTAAAACGTGATTATAAAAAACCTCAAATATATATTTTAATACATGTTATTAAAAGTTTAATACTTATTTCAATTGTAAAACATTATGATATGTTTAAAAAATATAATCTTGCATCGATTAATCTTACAACAACGACAGCAATGACGACGACAACAACTGCAACTGCAGCAACAACAACAGAAGGGGAGAAAAAAGAAGAAGAAGAAGAAGAAGGAGAAGGAGGAGGAGGAGAACAAAAACAAAAGAAGATTATATTTGACGACGATGATGATGATAATGATGACGATGATGACAATAATGAAGAAACAAACGATTAAACTTATTTGTTTTAATAAATAAGAAAACTTAAATAAGAACTAAAAACAAACAGAAATATTTGTTAACTTTTTTTTTTTGAATTTGTTGTAAAATATATATTGGAATAACATTTGGATGTTAGGTCATGACCAACTGCTTTCTTTCTTTCCTTGTCTTTTTCATATTTTGCGCGTTCGCTTTTTCTCGTTCTATCCTTATGAGAGTATCGATGTGGGGCGTAGACAAGGGGTAGGCATTTTGCGATCACGCCATTCTGGTCTGTCTTAACTGACTTATCGACTTACATATAAAGTCCACATATGTTTGTGAGTGTTTTTTACTATCTACTATCGTACATCTAGATACAGAGAAATAACTTTGGACGAAAATACAAATGACAACAATGTTAGTCCCTAGCGCTTCATCTACCTCATCACGATCGTTAATATTATTTGCTTTCGGTTGTACATTAGCAATTGTATTAATGACATTTCAATATGAACATAAATTATCATTATTTAATTCTCCGCGTCATATGCTTACATTACCTTCTTTGAGTCTCATTTCCATATGTGGTCTGGGCACTGGTAAATTACTTAACAAAAAAAATATTCTATTTTTATTTCTTCAATAGCTTTAGTCGGTTTTCTCTATCCAATGCTAATTACATCTAATGATCAAACATCTGTATCTTTATATATGGATGAACCTATGCAAAAATCTCAACTTTGTAAATCAGTAGTCATATTTGTTGGTATTAATCATCTATGTGCAGTAAGTTTTTAATTACGAAAAAAAATTAAAAAAAAAATATTCTATTTATTTATTAGAAAATTCCATTTCAAAGTGATCTTCATTTTAGTATTATCATAGTTTTACTATGTATAGCATTTTGGTGGTGGTTTGATGGAACTAAAATTGACTTTACTTTTTCAATTATTGTATCATTTATATTGACAATGACAACAGAAATATTACTACGTGCTGGTGCATTAGAGTAAATTGATTTTTTACTAGAGAAAATCTTCTAATATTTTTTTTTAATTTAAAGATATACATATTCAGATTTTTATTTAAAAACATGTGTGCCTTGTCTAACATTTGCTGGTGCTATTCTGATAATACAAATAACAAAACTATTATCTCCAGTAACTTTTGTTTTTTTGATTAATATTAATTCAATTCTTATTTTTTTGTTTTTATAGAATCAATCATCATTGATACCGATTATTCAAATCGAACAAGAACATATGAAAAATGAGTAATCTACTAATCATCTATGTTAAATTAACAGATAAATCAAATTCTATTATCTATATTATTGATTCATTCATCTATATTTCTAATATGTATGTCTAATATTAAATGGACATATTTTTGATGATATCGTTTTTTCTCTTATTTTTTGTTTTTACCTCTGTATAGGTTTGGTATTTTTACCCTCCCGTGCAATGTATTAATATACTTTAAAATATTAGAAAAACATTTTCTGTTATTTTCTTTTTTTTCTTCAAATGTATTTTTGTATATATGCTTATAAATTAAACACGAAGTTTCAAGTATAAATATATTATTAATTACGAGAAATATTTAAAAACATTTGACAAGAAAGCGAATATTTTAGTTAGGTAATTATTTATATAAATTATGTATGAGATATTTATTTTAGAACAATAAAAAAGTTATATATGACCTCAACTAGAATAATTCTTTGTCGATCTATAAGATGAAAATTACTGTGTATGAGTTTATTAAGAACGGTTATCACTAGAAATATCTAAGCATGTAATGAAAATCCTTATTAATGTAGCATCTTTCAATAAATCTGTTGTTGAGATATATAGAATTCGTGATGTGATTTCTGTTGAAAATAACTAATGAGAATCGATCATTCAATTTAGAAGAACTCTCGTATTTCATCAATAAATTAAGAAGAAAACAACATATATTTGATTATTAATCTTTACGTTTTTAAATAATAGATTTTAATTAGAAAGTTCGAGCTCTGCATAATGTTATTCACACCAGTTGGTATAACTATTTGTCAGTTACTTTCGCTTTTTTATTTATTCTTAATAAAAATCTCTATCCATTGTTTATTTAAACATTTTTTCAAATTGGTACTGAGTGTGTAGATGAGTACATATGTATTATAATAATATCATTCGATGTTCAGAAAGAAATGGTAGTACTTAATTTCAATTCTATACTATTGAACATCTTTTTATAAATTAAAATATCGAGAATAAAGAATGTTTAAACAAACAATGGGTTGAAAAAATGTTTAATTCGGTTTGAATGTGGTAGAAGTAGTTCGATTGTAAATAATGATATATTTACTGTGAAGAGTGTTATTAATATTCTGCAAAGTCAATGTTTAGTTTACTTATGAAGTAATAATTTACAAAAGAACAACTGTTTAATATTTCATAATCAATAGGATTATTATGAACAGTATACTTGTCATATAAGGTTAGATATATACTTATGTTACTATTACTGCCTTCAGCTAAATAAACTTGTCGAAGATTTATCATATAATGTGTCATAAATTGATGCGATGTAATTTAAATCATTCGAAGAGTTCTAAACTAAATGCTTCCATTTCATTGTAACCTTGCTTAGAAAAGTAATGTCTTTACTATCTAATTTCCATATCCGTTCAAGGAGAATGTCAAGTGTAAGAACTCTATAGTAAGTAGTAAAAGAATATCTATATTTGACTGAATGATTTATGTTGATTATGAAATGATTGTATGATCAAATGAACCATTAATTGACCAACACTTATCAAATTATATCAGTCAATAAAACAGACATTTGCTTTTGATTTTATCTTAACATAACTTTTCTTTGTACGATATAAAATTATCATCAGAAAAAATCTCTCTCCTTATATTGTTTTTTTTGATATTTCAAACAAATTGTTGAATGACATTTAAAATTATGATGTTGATCATTGTGGTAAAATAGAACGAATATGCATTAGAAATCCAACTTTTGTTCAAGTTTCATCTATACATTCATATTGATTGAATTTTGTAATAAATATTCATTTTATCTTTGATCCATATCGAATTTGTTTTATGTAATCTTTATCAACTGATAATATATAAATATCAAGCTTTGAAGGAGATTTTTATCTTATTAAAACTACAATACGTAAAAGCATATAGTTGCTTCGAACATATTTTTTTTCCTGTTTTCATTGATTTCGAATAGTTTAATGTCATTATAGTTGTTGTAAAAAAAAACACTAAAAAAAATGAATTGATTTTGTTTTATAGTATCGCTGATGGGAGAGAACTTTTTTTTTCATTCTCTTTTAATGGACCACATAGAATATAAAACAAAAAGTCAGTTTAAACTATTATCTCAATGCAATAACTGTTCTCTTTTATACAACTACGATATGTACAATGAAAGAGAAAGAAGAAGAAGAAGAAGAAGAAGAGAAGAACGAGGGAAGAAGAGAGACAGACAGAGAAGAGAAATTTTTTTTCCTTGTTCCTACAATCGCATAACGGCAGTAGCAGCAGGAAGCAACATACTACATATAAGCTCATCCTATTCTCCTCCTTGTTGTTGTCTCAATGGTGGTTCATCGTATCAACATTCAAGTATTCTCTTCATTTAAGTGGACATAGTAACTAATAGTACCTCTCAACTTCTGTTTCTTTTGTTGTCAAACTTACAACAACAACAAATATCTATATATATATACAATATCAACATACAATGTTTTGGACATTCTTTATTAGTTTTCTTCTCATCATTACAACATCGTCATCTCATATTGATATTAATGGTAAGAAGATTATATAGGTTATCATAAGTATTCATGCATAAGATTGAAATCAATTGATACTGAATGAATATTCCAGATTTCTTTTTTCTTTTTTTGAACATTCATGTGATTGTGTAGAAGTAATATAAAAGTGACAATATAAGACGCAAAACTCTTCCGAAGTCATAAATCCAATGTATATATAAATGTATGTGTATGGTGATGATGTAAACGACCATTTTACCATACACATACATACACACACGTCGTGATAATGTTCAAGTTCAGCTGTGATTTGCATAAATCATATCATCTTTTGTATATATGTATATCTCTATATAAGATGAGATATATGCCGCTGTCCATCTGTAAAATTCTTTAGCAATCTCAATTGTCATTGCCTATTTATCAATACACTTGTTGTCTCCCACCCACTCATATTTAGACAAGAACAGTTGACATACTCTCTCTCTCTCTCTTGATATACATAGATATATGTATATACATACAAAGGCATTTCTCTTTGATATGTTGATTATTGTGTTGAATTATCTTGTCGCCTGTTATAACAGATATACACTTACCTTGACAGAAAGGAAAAGAGATTATGTCATATCATCATTATCATCATTACAAAAGATGTTAACCGGATGTCGGTTTGGACAAGTATCATGGATCATCTGTCTGTAATTACCGTGGACAATGGTCAATAATAAAAAACAAATAGGATAATAGAGATAAATTTTTTCTTCTTCTCTATACGAGTAGTAATAAATGATTATGTAAATATGCTTTCTTTTCTTTTCTTTTGACTCTCTACAGAGATTGATTTTATTCAAATAAAATAAAAAAAAAGAAATTGTGTGTATCGCTTATAAATAGTGCTGTTCCCTATGTGACACCGATTTGCATTCCAACACACACACACATATATGTATATTGGCAGACATTAGCTCATTTGGGGATGTCTGTTGCGAATTGTGAATGAATGAAGTGTATGAGTTGACTAATTCGATTGGGGATAACGCGCATCATTCAGTTCTAATTCGATATAAGCAGCTAGCATTTGTCCATTTTTTTTGTCATTGCTCCTATGCATGGGTGATGAGTTTTATATTGCACATTGTCCTTTAATACAACAAATCAATGATGACACTTGCATTAGGGAGAAATCTTTTTCTTTTCTTATAAAAGATAATAAAACAAAAATTAAAAAGATATTTTATTCTCACTTTTTTGTTTTTCTTTTTCGAAATTTAGATGAAAATAAACCAATAATCGAAGCATTAAATACGAATGTAACAGTAACTAGTGGACATAAAGCAATATTAATATGTACATTCGATAGTACAAATAACGATCTATCACTTTCATCATCACATCAATTAATATGGATTCGACAGAATTATGAATCAAATAATGCTGATTCATTACTAGCACATAATCAAGATTTATTAATATCTGATTATCGTTTAATTGTTCAACGTACGGATACATTTTATTCATTAACAATAACTGATGTTAATATTGATGATGAAGGAATATATGCCTGTGAAGTCAATACTCAACCACCACAAAAAGCATTCGTTCATCTATATGTTCAAGGTATAGTTTATAATTTATTAAGTGAATCTTCTTTTTTCTTCTTCTTCTTTTTTTTCTTCTTCTTCTTTTTTTTCTTCTTCTATAAATGCATGATCATAGTCTGCACCTGCTAGGATGAATATGAGATTTTTAAACGGAAATCATGATTCCGGCATGATGCGCCTATATATGTGTTTAATGTCTATTCTAACTGTCAAAGTTAAGCATCACGCTCGAATTGGGATGATCAACACATTTCTAACTGTGATCATATATATATATATAGTATTTATCGGAATTGTTTATAATAGAAAGCAAGAGAAAATGTGAATGATTCTTCGTTTAAGTGAATGCCAGACGAATCGAAGATGAAATGAAGGCGAAAGAATATATGTGTGCGTGCTGCTACTTAATGTATTTAATGTTATGGTGGTTAGTACAATAGAGATGAAGAAAATCGGTAAATGATGATGATCAGGAGCTCTGGCAAATATATATGCAGAAGTGAACTGAACCGAGAGAGTATGTTTATATTTGAACGAGTGATGACATTTTGTTGTCTACATATATATATATATATGAAACAGAAATAGAGACATACACATACGGAATTGCTTTTCAACGCCTTTCTTTACTAATATAACGTGCGACGACTATCAGCGTGTCCTTTTGTTCGTCGTCAGTCATTATATATTGCTTAGAAGATCTTAATTTTGATGCTCAGCTGATAGACATGCACGCTAGTGATGATGTGCGCGATCAATTAAGATCTGTTAGCGCGTGATTTGATCTAGATACACATATATATGTGAAAAAGACAAAGACAATATGGAAATTGTCGTGATTTTAGAATGATAATTAGTTGTATTTTTGTCTAATCTCGATTCGAATAAAATAAAACGAGATAAAAATCAGTATGTTACACCTATGTCGTGTTGTTAGTTTTTAATAATATAAAGTATTATTGTCTATGAATTTTACCATCCCGAAGTATTGGGAAAAGGAAATTAACTGTACATTCTGTTCTACATGATATGTATAATAAAAAGATAGAATTAGTCAGATATAATCATACGAAAAAAAGCAAATATTTAAATTCATATGTAATATGATAATTTGTATTAATTACGATTACATACGACTTTTGTTTTTAAATATATTGCTAATCGTTGTTAAAGAATCAATTATACGAGAATGATTGCATTAATATACATAATCTAGTAATTATGATAGAATAAATACGACATGAGTTAATAATTTATCTAATACACATATGTACTTGATAAGTGCATATAGCAAACTATCGAAGTTCGGTAAATAGTTTTGAATTATATTCTCGTAATTTTTGTTTGTATAAAGCGAAATGGTTTTAATTGATAAAATATATTGATAAATTTTGTTATATATGTTATTTTCAAATGGCAAAATTTTTGTTTAATTCTTTTGTATATTTGTTATATATACTTTGAGTTTAAAATCACAATTAGAATAAAAAGCATTGATTCGTCGAGGATTTTAAATTTAAATTATTATGTAACATGTTTGCTCATAATATTTACCTGGATACGTCAAAAAAAATAATTGTTTTGTTTATCTTTGTCAATTGTAATCGCGTGACAGAAATCCAAATAGTCATGCTT